CTGAAGCTTCTGATGTAGGTGAGTCAAACTTTAAGAAATAGTGATTTATTCCTGTCTTACCCCTAGGTTCTTCATGACATTTTTTTCCCCTTAAATTCCATATATATGTGTTAGCATACGGTATTTGTCTTTCTCTTTCTGACTAAGGAATAAAGACACAGACCTACTAGAGAATGGACTTGAGGATATGGGGAGGGGGAAGGGTAAGCTGTGACAAAGCGAGAGAGAGGCATGGACATATATACACTACCAAATGTAAGATAGATAGCTAGTGGGAAGCAGCCACATAGCACAGGGAGATCAGCTCAGTGCTTTGTGACCACCTGGAGGGGTGGGATAGGGAGGGTGGGAGGGAGGGAGATGCAAGAGGGAAGAGATGTGGGAACATATGTATATGTATAACTGATTCACTTTGTTATAAAGTAGAAACTAACACACCATTGTAAAGCAATTATACTCCAATAAAGATGTAAAAAAAAAAGTAATAGTGATTTAAATAATTCAGGAAAATTATTTGCTATTATTTGCTTATATTGAACTAATGGGTAAACTATTCTTGAGCCTTCTTTTTCTGGGTTTTATATTCTATTATCAAACCAAAATATAGAACTTACTTGCAGTTTATAACCTAACATTCATTTAAAAAAATAAATGCTTAATATACAAGTATAAATTTACACTGTATATTTTTCACAAATCCTCCATTGGAAAGCCTTTCCTTTAGTAGGGCTCATTACTGGATATTTTCAAAGGCCAATTAGATCTTGGTTACTCTCCAGTTTTTAAATAAAATTTTCAAATCTACAAAATAACACATACTCTGAGACTTCATCTCAGAAAAAAAATTTCCTTGCAAATTGCTATATACTTATTATCCTTCCACTTCCTTGAGTAATTACAGATCAGAAGCATAGATCAAAGCCTGATTATTTGATACCTCAGCTTCATCACTGCCATCAAGATGTTTAAAGTAAGGGATGGCAAAGGCTTAGAGATGGGTACTTGATAATCCTTCTATCAAATGTTGACCCTGCAAAGGACTAATAGATAGTGTTGTGCCTGTAATGGGCAGGTAGTATATATTTTTGATTTTGCAGGCATATAATCTCTGCAGCAAGTACTCAGCTCTGCCATTTTGGCATGAAAGCAGCCAGAGGCAACTCATATAGGAATAGGCGTATCAGTGTCCCAATACAACTTATCACACTGCTATATTTAAAATGGATAACCAACAAGGACCTACTGTATAGAACAGGGAACTCTGCTCCATAATCTGTAACAACCTAATTGGGAAAAGCATTTGAAAAAGAATAGATACATGCATATGTATAACTGAATCACTTTGCTGTACACCTGAAACTATCACAACATTGTTAATCAACTATATTCCAATATAAAATAAAAAGTTTTAAAAAAAATAAGCAGCAGGCCAAATTTTGCCTATGGGCTGTAGTTTGCCAACTGACTACTGCCAAGAGCACAAAGAATATAATCAAGAATTTTAGCCAACAGCAACGTAACAAACAGCAGTTTCATACCCATTTCATGACATATACACACACACACACACACATTTCCCTTTTCATTAATATTATAAATTAATGGAAAATCGGCAGATGAAAAACATTGCTACAAATTCTTCTGAATTAAAATTTGCTAAAATAACTATGTACATAGACAAAAGGAAGTCATTAGATGAAGAAACATTCATCTAGAGTTAATATGGGCTATTGAAATTAGTTTAATTGCCTTTAACGCTATTTAGGTTTGGAAAACTCTTTGAAAGGTATTATCAGTTATCTCTTTGCCTTAATTGAGGGTCAGGACAACACCCCATTGAAGCAGCTAAGAATTCACATGTGAAATATTTAAATGCCTAACACAGAGTAGATATTCATTAAAGCATCTATTAGCATAACGATTACTCTTCATTACTGTTATTATTTAAATCCTAAGGAAGGAAATTACCAAATCTTCCCTAGAATCATATTCAAATATTTAGTAAGTCTTGTAACGTTCACAAGTATGAAACTGATATATCCTATTAGAAAAATACTCAAAGAAAAGCAATTGACCTGGTTTTTTGATCCTGAGTCTGTAAGTTCTTGAACTGTCCTCTAGGTCTCAGTCTTCTCAATTTGAAAGTGAAGAGGTTGCACTAGATTAGCAAGTTAGCTCCATTTCTTTGGTTGGCAAAGGTATGAAAAATTCAACAAATGTTCAAAATAAAACCCAAGATGCACCCATCTCCTGGCCCTACTCCAAAACTTGATCTTCTTCTGGACTATCTCAGGGAAAGGCAATACCCCTCACATTCCCGTTCCCCTAATGCAGTTGCACGAGGCTGAAAACTTGGACACCTCCCTCAACCAGTCACTCAATTTGCTCAATTTTCCTTCCTAAAGATTTTGATTTCTTATATCTGCTTTGTTCTATCTCCAACACCGACTCCATCGACTAAGCAATCACCACCGCTTGCCTGAATTCCTGCATGGCTTTCTAAAGTCTCCCTAAATCCAATCTTGCCTCCCTCTGATCCCTTCCTACAAAGAAGTGAGAATGGTCTTTCCAAAATGCAAATTGTATCATGTCAACCTTCTTAAAACCACACTGTGGCTTGGCTTCTCATTTCTCTTCAAGTGTAAACTCTGGCCCACTTTTCAACCTTCCTTCTTGGTTATCCAAACAACTTCTGCTCCCTTTCACTGCCTTTTGCTCGGAATACTCATCTCCACTGTCTTTGGGTATCATATTTTACTCATCTGTGGTATCACCATCTCCTCTCCACTTCCTTACTAGTCTTCCTTGACCCCAGGCTGTTTTTGTTTGTTTGCTGGCAAGGACCTGTGATTCTTTTCATCCAAGCACCTATCTCTATATGAAATTATACATCTGTTAGCATAGTGTTTTGGTTGATGTGATTCTCTTTCAAGGTTATCAGCTCCATGGTAGCAGACACAGTTTTTTTTCTGATCACTATTGTATTCTCAGTGCCACCGTGAATGAACAGATTAATAAATGAGCATGTATGTATCCAGCCTAAAAATTCTCAAATTTTCCAACGTTCCTGTACAATTTAAAGTGATTTTCTTTTGAAACATTCTATTTTTACATTAGTGGTTTCCATGAGTGTAATTCTACCCTCTCTTCCAAAAAATGACACTCCTAAGTCACCATTACACATAGATTTTTGTTTCCTTTTTCCGGTAGTGATAATAAATTAATCTGATCCATCTGTGATCATTTTCTCTCTTCCTTTTGGCAAATAAAACATCTCTGTTGTATGGGGCTATGTGCATGGGCTTTGGGGTCAAACAGGCCTGGGGCTTAATCCCGGGCTCTTTCATTTACTAACTTTGTGAGTCCAGACAATTTACTTAATATAACGAGACCTGTTTCTCTTATCTGAAAAATGAGGACAATAATAATTACATCTCAACATGCTGTTATGAGGATTAATTGAGTTAATATAGTAAAGAGTATTCAAATAATTCCTATTTTTATTATTATGATATCACATATGTCAACCTGACAAGCTTTTGGTTTGGCTCAGTAAACTTGAACTTTTTTGCTGGACACTAATATGCATCTTTGTTGTAAGTGCTTTGAGGCACACATTTTTATAAAACAGTATTAGTCAATCTACACCTATTGTTCAACTAGTATTTGCTTTGTATTTTCCTAAGCTTGGGGGTTGTGTTCTCTAACTTTGAAGAAAAGGTACATGAGATAAGAATAATAAATTTATTACAGAAGATAATTACTTGTTAGACTGTAACAGGACTGACTTCAAGTGCAGTGGAAATTCAGGAAAAATGGGAGAACCATGTAATCAGGGACACTTCTGGGGAAGCTGGGATTTGTCTAAGAAAAATCTCAAGTGCATAAAGGTTTTGAATACAGTCATCAAAGGTGAAGACCATGATACCTAGAGCCTTCTCTGTACCACACACTCGACTGCCTTTATTATATATGTGATTTCCCTTAACCCTCAAAAGAGCTCTGGAAAGTAAATAAAACAGTTCATTCATTCATTCATCAAGTATCTCCTAAGAACCTCCTATGTACCAGACCCAATACTGAGAATACACAGTGATGAAAACAAATAAGCACCTTCTCTGTGAGTGGCTTACATTCCAGTGGGTTTGATAGAAAAAAACAAAACCAAAAATATTATATGTGGTATATTAAAAGTTGAATCACGCAGTGGAGAAAAGTGAATCGGAAATGAGAAAAGGAGTCCTTGGGGAGGAGTAATCACTTGAAATACAGTTCAGGGGAGGCCTCACTATTTTAGGGATGATGAGGGGCTAAGTGACTCGTATGATGTCACACATCCAGCAAAAGTGGCAAAAAGAAAAAGTGGCAACAGAAGGATTCAACCTAGGTTTGTCTGACTCCCACTCCTGTTTTGCTCTCTAAACTATGCAGGGGAGTGGGTGTTCCAGCTGAGGCAACGCACAAGGCCAGACAGAGCCTATCTGTGTAAGACAGGAAGAAAACTGACCGGATTCCAAGTGCAGGAGTTCCACTGCAACGAGGAAAACATAAACTTGGCCGGGAAGAGTGCAGCCAGACTACGGAGGATCCCAGAAGTCCAATGGAAGTGGGTTTTGTTTGTCTGCTTGTTTGTTTTGCTTTGTTATTGGCAATGAATTACGGTATCCTGTGTATGAAGCAGAACGTGAGGCATCTGGAGGAGAGTCGGAAGTGAGCAGGCAGCTAGGAACCCGTTGATATAACAGACGTAAGAAGTTCTGATCTCTAAACTCCAGAGGCTATGGTCAGAACAGTGCAGAAATACGGCGTGGGAGAAAGACTCTGCGGTGGAAATGAACTGGAACTACATCAATCACTGGGTGTGGGGGTGAAGGAGGAGAGTGAGCCAAAGGCACACGCTAGACACCAGGTGTGGGTGATGGGGGATGTGAATGCCTTCAACCGACATGCAGAGGCTTGGAGTAGGTTAGTGTTGTTAATTTTATTTTGGAATCATTTTAGTGATCTGCACACACTGAAGGATCACTGGAAACATCCCAGCATACTGTAAGCCAGAGCTGTAGTCACTGCTTGAAATAAATATTCTACTTAGTTGCCCAAATGAGAAATCCGAGAATCATCATAGATTGCTGCCTGCTTCATCCTCGTCATCTCCAATGTTCCATCAAGCTCCAAAACATTCCACCTCCCAAATACCTCCCGATAGCCTCCCATCTCTCTGTGCCCTCAAAGGCCCGATTTGTGCCATCTTATTTCCCTGGTTCTGCATAACTTGTCTCCTCTATCTTCACCTGGAGTTTTATTTATCAGAAAACATTATTTTCCCCAAAGCACAAATCTTATCAGAAAGTAAAAGGACGGACAGGAAACAAACTCTCACTTACAGAAATGATTTCAGTCATCCATGTGGTCATGCACTGAATATATACACCATTTTGTTTAACCTTTATAAATCCTTATAATAATCCTTTAAGGAGGCTGTTTATAGCCTCCTTTAAAGAGGAAGAAACTGAGAGTTGCTTAACGGCACAAACTGAGTAGATAAAGAAGCTGGGATTCAGATTCAACCAGGCTGTTTTTCTGTTTCAATTCACTTGGACCCTGACAGAGGCTCCCAAATCACCTACATTTTTAAACAAAAGTCTATGTTATTGTCATAACATACAAGGCCTTTGAGGGTATTCCCCTGTGTGCTCTTCCACTCCCCTTTCTCATCACTCGCGCTGGATGACTGGTACCATCTCTGGGTGCCATGTTCTCTCAGATGCACATGGCGCCTTGGGCCTAGACTATAGGAGAGGCTTCATACATACTTATTTTATGAAGCATTTCATACTGCCTCTGTGCTCTGTGCCCCTCATTCCTTATGCCCCAGGCTAGACCTACCTGCTTTACAAACTTTTCAAGTTTATAAATTATCTCCTCTTTTCGATTTGTCCCTAATCCCAACAGGGTAGATGTCTTGAGTATATATGTACCTCTACCATTACATTTACCCTCTATAGAACTCTTTGTGTCCATCTTGTCCCACCTGACCGCGATCTACTTGAGTACCTGGATTGTATCTTTTTCGTGTATTTATTCCCAGCACCAAGCACAGTGCCTGGACTAGAATAGGGTCTCAGTAAATGTTTGTTTCATGAAGGAAGAGAGGGAGGGAACGTCTGAGGGAATAACCTGACTATTCCTGCCTGACCCCGGAAACAGATTCCCACAGCAGACAGGTCATGTTTATCTGAGCCTCCTTGCAGCCCCCGTTCTTGACACCTTGCCTGGCACCTGTAGGCACTCACATTCATAAACAGTTGGGAATGAACGTATAAAAGCTTGTTTAGTCATTACGTGGTTAAAGCATTTTCACATGACCTTTTTATAAGGTCATTTTCCTGGGTGCATGGGAATGTCTGAAGGGGCCTGTGGAATGTTCTAAATATGTGCAGTAGGAGGGTCTTGAACCCAAGGGGGATCCCGAGTCCAACTCATCATTCACCACATGGTTCTCAGATAAGGAAGCGACAGGGAAGACATGAGGGCTCTAGATTTCACAACGCAGGGTGTCACGACATTCACTGGCAGTGAAGGGAAGATGGTAACAGCCACAGGAGGATAAGACGAAGCCTGATGAGATGCTAGCAAAGATGTTCTGGACCCGCAGAGTTGAAACGCAGTTACATCTGACAGCAGTGTTAAAACTTTGACTTTTGGTATGCTCCTTGCCCTGCCTATGATTATTTTCTTAGGATTTATGTAAGATGCTTTTTGTTTTGTTCTGTTTTATAAAAAGTTAACCTGTTTCAATTGTGATAAGTGACAGCATGGGAAAGGTTTTGGTCCAAGCGTGGATGGGCCCCAGTTTTCCTGAGCCTACGGGATATCTCTGGGAAACAGAGTGGGGTGAGCCTAAGTCTCTCAGGACTTTGGACATCAGAGGGAGTGACATCAGCAAGAAAAGCAGCACAGGGTCTAGAGAGGGATCAGGGGATAGTCACCACTTTACCACAGGAAGTTCTAGAAGAAATAACCTCCTAAAATGCCTGACACATAGATAGTGCCCAAATCTTTGGTAGAAGAAAGGTTTATATAAGTTTTTGCTTACTGCTTATGAACTAGTGAAAGTAAGCTGAAGAAGGAAAGTTACTCTGGAGAAACAATTTAAATGTAATTAAAATTAAAATAAAGTGTTTCTTATAATGTGTCAATGCAAAAATATGTTTTGATTTATACAGTAGTCTACACATTTTTCCATCTGGGTAAAATATCCATACTTATAATGGATTGATTAATTCTACAGCCAGACTGAAGTATATTTTCCAACAACTAAAACCTATAGAAATATTCCAAGGGGATTTTATCATAAGAGTAGAGATGACTTCATCAGAAGTCACTACGTATGCTCTTCACTCCTTGGCAAAATCTGATTTGCGCGACGTTGCCTTGGAAACTATCCCTGGGTTTTTAGTCACTGCAGGGAACCCGTTCATCTCACAAGTGAGGTTCACCTGTTATCAGGTGCTGAGACTTGGCGGCTCACTAAGAGTACTGCGCCGAGGCACCAGGGCACTTTGGGATGGTCTACATACTCCAGGGTGCAAAGTGCCATGAGGAAACTTTTAAAATATTCAAACAACCCAGTTTTAAAAACCATCTGGGGAGGCATGAGTGTTTTTAGCCCCGTTCCATTTTACATGAAAATATTTTGTTCACCTTTAAATGTAGAATATATTGGTTTGGCCAAAAAGTTCGTTCAGGTTTCCCGTAAGATGTTACGAAAAACCCGAACGAACATTTTGATCAACCCAATGCGTTTTCTTCACCCCCAAACCTGACTTTGGGCAGAATAAACGAGGAAGCAGGAAGAAACGAATGACTTAAAACATATATATTTCTATTTGCTATACCACCTTTTGACAACTAAACCCAGTGATTCACACCTGTATTTTCTAATAGGTGGTTATACACGTTGATTAAGAAACAAATTATATTTAAAGAAATTTGTACTTACCAGAAATACTGCTATAGATATTCCAACCAGAAAGCCTGCTATCACATCGGACCAATGATTTCGATATTCTGCTACTCTGTTGAGCCCAGTAAGAAAGGCCAAACACATTAAGCCCAGGCATAGAACAGGCTTAGCAAGTCTTGTTCCTTTGGCTTTGATTGTGTTGGTAATGTACATCTGAAATAGTAAATGAAAAACATGACTTTCCATGAACTTTCCATGAACGTATTTCCTTGATATACACCTCATATATGTGTCTGTACATATATATATATTTATTGACATAGATATGCCTATATAGTTCAAATAATTAACTGAAGTTTATGAATTTTTTGAAAGAAGTTTCTTAAAAGTAGACTTTAAAAGTAGTGATTAGTTAATTTTACTTACCTTATATTGACTAATGGCCAATTCTTATGTAATAGTAATTATCTAGGATACTGAGTGCAGACATTCCAAGTGACTGTTTTTTAAGTTTTAATGTACTTATTCTTGTTTCATCTGAATTTACATTTTAGATCAATACTATTAGAAGGGGAAAACTGATGAATGAATGTTTTTAATGTTTACATTTTTGTACACCATATGGAGAGGAGGCATACTTTATAAAAATTAGAAGTTGTGTAGAGAAGCCTCTGCACCCTGCAGTCAGCTCCTCTGTCAGTAGTTGATTTTGATAAACAGCCAAAATATTGGATTTTTTTCAAGGTTTGAAGATCATTAACTCTTTGGAAGAGCAAGAGGACAGTTTCTGAAGGCTCGGGGTGGGGGTGGGGGACAGCTTATGTGTGACAGCCTTAATTACCCCAAGTAAATATTCAGGAGCAGAGCGCGGCAAGGCAGCCGAATCAGGGGAAGGAGTCTTTGCTCCATGGCTGCAGGGCTCCTTGTTACACTGAATCGAGCTCCTCTGAGCTGACCATGATTCCTGGGCCCCTACAGCCCTGCCCTTTGATGATATTTCCCCCGCTTTGGGAGGCATCGGCTTTAGAGAATTTAGCATATTTATTCACATAGCCTTAACTGAGGGCCTAGCGTGTTCCCGGCACTGTACTAGGCCCTGGAAGTGATGACAAACAGACTCAGTGCCCTGGAGAAAGTGGAGAAATCCCCACCCCCACATATAATTATGAGACATGTGATCTCATGTGTGATGAGAACATAATAGGAAATAAAAGTAAATTCTAAAATCGTTCTTTACTCAGACTGGCTTTCCTTCTCGGGAATCACAGGCCAGTTTCCTTCCTGTATCATAATGGTGACCATTACTGACGCTTGGGGTGATGGTATGACTTTGGTTTACAAGCTGCATGTTTGGTTGTCATGAAGTCCCTTCTGATTTCTGAGAACAGGGCCATAAAAAAAAAAAAAAAAAAATTAGAAGTTGTGAGTATAGCTATAAAAAACAAAATGGAGTGGATTTCCACTAAACAGATACTACTTTGAAAAATGAATTTAAAGTTCAATACAGTGCCAAGGTTTGCTTTTATGCTGTTACCTGAAATTGTGAAATTACTTCGTTTTAACCAAATTTTATCAACCAGCATTAGGACAACAACAAAAACTTAACGATGATGGGGGAAATGTGCCAGCTAAAGCCAAAACAAAACATTTAGTAAACACCTACATTTTTGGCAGCTTCACATATGCTAATGAAGAACAATTAAGTGTCAGCTGATTGCACAGAATGAAATGCCTTCAAGTTGTGAGCCACCATGCTCAAAAAAACCAGTCTTTCCCCCAATCTGATTTATTCTATAGCTCAATTGCTCATAACTTAAACCATGTGTTCCTATGTAAGTGAATCCGTTGACTGTGAAGGAAATGTGTCAGTTATTATTTCAAGTCACTGGTAAAGTAATTATTAAAGAGATGGCTTTGACAGTGCAATCAGTTTTTATGATATTAATGTCAGAATCTAATACTGATAATATAATCAGAAAAATACTTAGAAATGCATATAACCACTTGCCTATTGTCCTCAGTTGAATAAAAAATACATTTGCCTAAGAGATCAAACCAAAATCAGCACTTATGCTTTTAGTTCATGGCAGCCATTTTAGAATGCTATGAAATTCAGTAATTATCTTTTCTCTTTTTTTTTTTCTGGGCAAGTTTGCAGCCCTGTTAGCTGCCAGTACACACTGTATGAATATTTAAACAGTTAATGTGATACAAGGCTTCTACCTAGCCAAGTTCTAGCTCTTTGCAATCTATCCCTGGTCCCGATACTCTAGGAAAAAAAAAAGCTGGATTATCTCCACTTTGGGCCTATGACCTTCAGAGCTATGTCTGTGTATTCTAAGCCTATGCTTGAAAGAGCTAAATAATCTCTGTTAAGAAGAATAAGTATACATGAGAGGGAAATAGGAGGAGATGAGAAAGAGAAAATGGTGCTTTTGCCATTCTGAGAGAATATATTAAAGAGTTTTGCCCACGTGAGTAACAAGGCAAGAATATCACACCACTTCAGGTGTCCAGTGACGCACCTAATAGAGTAATTCCTTATTTGACTCGTGCATATAAACAGGGAGTGAAATTTGAGCTGCTTGTGGGATTTTCTGTAACACAGCTATGCGGCTGATTACTAACTTCTTACCTTCGCATTTCTTCACATCTGTCAGAATGCTAAAGACATCCTATCCTTATTAAAACAAAATGAATGTGAAATGATAACTGAGTAGTATTAATACCGCTAATACTTATTATAGCTATGATTTAATGAGCGATGGCTGTTCAAGGCAATGTTCTAAGCATTTTACTTTACTTATTAAATCCTCAAAATAACCATATTCGTAAGAAATCATCATTACCTTCATTTTATAGATGAAAAAATTGACTCAAGACAAAGCTTACTATGAAGAATATACAACTTAACTATTGGGGGTGGCACTTTTGAGAAGGAGAGATGTCAGTGGGAAGTCGGGGTAAAGCACTTTGGTGCCTTTAACCTTCGTTTCTTTCTTGATTGATTTCTTGCCTAGAGAAAATGGCATAAGCTAAGTATCAGTGAATGCAAGAGAAATGAAATTAAAAATACGGGAAAGAAGGCCACATAGTACATAGCAGTGAGGCTACATCTATACTCTACTATTAGGAAGAAGTAGAAAGTAGTATATATGTGGTTTGTGTGGGAAAATCTCCTACAGAATCTGTATGGCTTTGGAAAACATTTGCCTTCTCCTTCAACCCCAGAGGCCATCACAGAGAGAGCTCAGCCCTAACTTATCCAAATTGTGTAAGCCTATAGTAATCTGTGACCTTGGGCTACAGTCCTCTGAAGTGTCTCTTGCATTTGAGTTTATTCCTAAGATGCTCTGTGACTTAAGCATTGTTTATAAAGGGTCCCAAGACACAGTCTGGCCACTATGCAAACTCATGAAAAGGCTTTTATATTAGGAATAGCCTGGGATTTGGCTCTTCCCCCACCAGATCCCCACTTAATGTCCAGAACCAGAATAGAAGATAATTGAATTTTAAGCGTTATGGGAAAAGGACGACATTTCTTCAAATAATTTCAACTTTAAAGTGGGTCACTGTAGTGCTTTATAATGCACAGATTTTTCTGTACCATAATCAGTTGACATGGATGTCACAAAAGAAAAATTTGAGTTTGCACTTATATGTACTAGGAAACTTTTTGGTACTTATGAATGTAAGTGCCTTTTAACCAGTCTAATTGTGTTATCCTTACAGAGGTCTATTATACCTAATTTGCAGAAGAGGAAATTATAGCATGAGAATCTATTAAGCAAGTTGGACACAGGACAGGAATTGATTATTTATGCTCTCTTGGTTTTTAATTCACTTATGAAACCATCTAGGTTAACCAGATGTCAAAATGTAGCTAAAATAAAACACAAACAGAAGGGTGTATAATCTGAGTAGGATGGTATCTGCTCAGTCCTCAAGGGTCAGTGAATGCTCACTACCTTATAGGCCAAGCCATTTAGCCATTATTAGGCAGTTCTTATTCATCAATCCCATGAATATCTATTAGCCCCAAGATGCAGAAAGTTAAAACCAGTCATTTGCTACCTGCTAACAGCGAGGTGTATATTCTTCTACACATTTTTTTCCTTGCTTATACAATATATACAATAACTGACACACATATAAAGGGGTTTTGTTTACTTGTTTGCTTTTACTAAAATATAATCTCAATGCCCATGTAGTAAAGTGAATGGACTCACTTGTGAGAATATTAATCTATCTCTTGGGTAAATGAGAAAGCACTGTACAATTTTAAAATAATACTGTTATAAAATAAAAACACAAATGTTTGTGTTTGTTAATTACTTACTATACACCTGACACTGTTATTCAAAGAAGAGACATCTAGGTTAGATCCAGAAGGATGAGTACGAGTTCCCGGCAAAGGGGAAATGGGGGCAAAAGGTGTCCTAGACCCAGGGAGAGCATCCGTAACCCTGCTATGCGCTCCCCAAGCACCTGCGTCGTCCTCTCCCAGAACACTTACCACAATGTGTGGTTTATACTAATTTGAGTTGTTCCCTTCACTACAGTGAGGACACAGAAGCCAAATCTGGAGTCTGCATGGTAAGCCCTGAGCTTAGCACTTTGCCTGAAACACAGTAAGCACTCAAAAGACTTACTAGACTTACTAATTAAAAGAACGAATAAATGAAAAATGCAAAGGCACAAGAGAAAGAGTATGGAGTATTTTCTTCATAGCATTTGTCACTATTTAAAATCATGTTCCCCATTTCTGGGTATGTATATCCGTTGCCTCCATGAGAATATTCCATTAGAATAAAACCTCTGTCCATTCACCATTCTACCTGAAATGCATAGAACTCCTTTTATGTAGTAGGTATTCAAAAATGTTAAATTAATGAATGCATGAATGGCATGCTTGGGGAAAAGTGAATTTTTGAACTCTTTTATTGTCAGAAAATACACATCGCTATCAGAAATCGTCTTGCATATGCATGTGTTTAGTTACTATTGTCTTTCTCCTCCTTGTCTATCTCATATTGCCTGGATCAAAACCCGGTACAGGATAGGAACCTGTAATAGAAAGAATATTAGCTCCCTAACAATGCCGAAGCTCTAATCCTAGGAACTTGTGAATATGTCACCAAATTACATGAGTCTTTAAAAGTGGATAACCTTCCCTAACTGTAGTCAGAGAGATCTGAAGATGCTATGCTGCC